GTGGGGAGAGACTATTGAGGGAGATTTCTTAGATTGTATTCAATATCAAAGTGTTAACCCTCTATATATATGATTTTAACAAACCTAATTTAAATAGGAAACTAAGGAAATAAAACCTAATTTAATTTAAATTAGAAAATTACTTATCAGAAAATTACAATCTGAATAAAAAGGAAAAATTAAATTACAATCAACTGAAACAGAAGTAACATCTAAAGATTTTTATGCCAAGTCTTCAAAATATATCTTTATTGCCCTCCATAAAAAATGTTCCAGCTTATAAGCGGTTAAAGATCATAATCAGAGGTTGAATTAAGTTGCAACAAGGTGCTGTTTTTTCCATTTTTCCCCTTTTTTCCAGATAAAAATCAAGGATATCATTGATAAGTTTTAAGGTATATATAAGAGGGGAGATAAAATGAAGCACCCAGTGCGCCATACTACCAAAGCTCTAACTGGCCAATAAGAGGGCCTGTTCTTGTAACTAAGAAACACCATGAGGGCGAAGCAGACCAAAAATGTGTTGACTGAGATAGTGTTTGGGAAGAAAAGTGACAGATTTGTTAATAGCGTAAAACACGGCAATTCAAGTCGCGGAAGAATTTGCATCATTTTCTTTTGGTAATTGAAACCCGTCTTGATCATCAGTTCCGACTACAATGATCAGGTGCTCTAGAGCTGAAGATGAACGGGGCTAATCGAGCTACCGAAGCTGTGGGATGTAAAGATACATCGGTAGGGGAGCGTTCCTGCCTAGAGGGAAGCCACCAAACGAGCATGTAATGGACGAAGTGGAAGCGAGAACGTCGGCTAGAGTAACTCAAACCCTGAAAACCAATGGTTCCTCCGTCTAAACGAAGAGACAACTTCTACGCGGAATTGATGTGATTCAAATTCTCCTTTGAAAATGAAAATAGAATACAGGACTTGAACCACAATGAAGTTGACAAGCAATGCTCACAAAGATGCATTCATGCAGGCACTGAGATACAATTGACAATCAAAAGATAATGCTAACAATATTCAGGAATTTAAACAGAAAGCAATGTTTAAATTGAATTCATGTCACTTTCAAAGAAGAAAGATTGGTAGAAATAAAGTATTATGAAAGACACTGTTACCTCTTGGGAATCTCGGCTGTGATTAACAGGCTTGTTGTCGTTATTTTCAAGAATTATGTGGCGGAAGATACCGTGGGGTACATCTTTAATGATATGCCATTTAACAGGAAACTGCCCATTCCATCTATCTTGCTGCCAGTACTTGGCATCATTGTCAAAATCAACAGGTCCAACCATCTCAGCTACCCCACAAAACTGTCCGCTAGCATTAACCTGCAGGTTGTTAGAACCACCAGATTTAACCGAGTGTGAAATGAGCAAAACAACAACGGCAAAAAGTACCTGAATGCAAGCTCCATTTGACAAATGCTTTAGTGCATACAAAATCAATGACTGAATTATATGCTTTACTCGTTAAAACAAATAAGTCAAATAACTAGATACAATGTGAGACTCGCACCAAAAATACTATAAACTTCGAGACATGGTTTCACGGGGTGCCTTTCTTCTTGGCACAGAAAGGGACACCATGCGGCAGTAATTTGCTCCGCTAGACTATCTTCCACCTTTTCTCGGTCGTTTCGGGATGAAAGAAAATTTGATTACAATTTGTGGAAAGCTTGCAACAAAGAAATTAGATGCATTGAAAGTAAATTGATGATTGATTGATGAAAACGAAAATTACAATTGATGAAAGCAGAAAATTACAATGGCTGGTGCAGGGGGTGAACACCAGTAAACTTGAAAGATTTTTGAATGACTAATACCCCATATAATAGCTTGTGGAAGAAAAAACTAAGTGATAGGAGTAGACGTTTAAATGACGAGGAATCATACTGAACGTTTACAAATATCAGAGCTATTTTACAACTGAAATAAACTATTGTAATTTCCTGCTTTCATTTTTTGTAATTTTCACTTTCATTAATCAATAATCAATTTACTTTCAGTGCATCTAAATTTTCTGTTGCAAACTATCTACAAATTGTAATGGAAAGGAAATTACAACTCAAACTGAACTAATATTTATAATGTGCGGCCGAAGTTGGGCAAACTGCGGCTGCAATTGGGTCAAGGGGCTAGTTAAAGCTGCGGTCCTTGACACATGGAGAGGTAGATCAAGCAAAATAAAATTATGGTATTACCAAGAAAAATTTATAGCGGCACAAATAATGGGTCAAAAGCAACAGAACCGGTCCGAAAGCAATCAAAGCCTAGATTTAGTACATGTAGAAGTATCAAAATGAAAGAGAGAGATTTTCCAAAAAAAAAAATGAAACAGGGATGGAAGGGAAAGGCCAGCTGAGACCGCTAGCTCAGAAATGTAGTATTATAGACAATATAATATGCCCAATACAGATATAAGAAAGTTACAACTTACGTTCATCATTAAGCAATAAATAATCATACGGACAAAACTAAAAGTTAGAATCACTTCTGGATTAAATGCTTATTCAGCAGACATCTACAACTACAATTATTAGGGCGAAGCAGTTTCTAATTCTTTTGTGCCAGCTCTAATTTTCATTCAAGGGAATTTAATTTCAAGCAAGTGGAGATTCACCAACATTTTGTCAGTTAGGAAGTTCAAGAAACTTACTGAGAAAAAGAGGAAGACTGGACAAATTCCATTGATTTCCTTTGCTTCACGATAGGCAGCATCAAGTTTTCTGTTTCCAAGTGATGTGCTGGCCCAAACATTGTATTTAATACTTCTGTGAATATTGTCTTCACTGAAGGACTTGATGACAAAAAACCTTGCATTTTCATAGTCTGTATTGAAATCTGGGGCATTGAACTGACTAATATCAAAGCCAGAAGTAGATTCAACATCTTTATAAACACCTGAGGATGTGCCCTCTCCAGTTAAACTTTTGCTCGTTGCCTTTGAAAACCTTGGCCCTCGATTTCGATCACTTGAAATACCAAATGCGTCGGATGAAACACTGATAAAGTCTCGATCCTTTTCACGTCTTCCACCCTTTCCAGTAGAGAACTGGTTCCGATTAGGAGCCAACCCGCGCTGGTAAGAGGCAGCATGCGGATAACGTCTAGCTGAGGAGTTTGACGTCAATCCATAACCTTGAAATGATGTCTGCAATTGAAACATTAGCAACAAATTAAATATCAAGGCCTGCAGGTTCCAATGAATCTAATCAGGTTAATTGGTTTCACACACTCATTAAACGTCCATTAGTGTATCTATCCAACCACCCATCATATCAGTCAATGAAAGAAGACAAACATTTAATATGTCAAAGAAACTTATTGAAGAAGAAAGATGAAGAGATATGCTGTTCTTTTAAAAGTACAAAATGTCATTTTATAAATCATAAAATAATGAAAGAATTACGCGTTTCCCATGCATATTAATTAGCGAGCAAGAAATATTGAATGAGATTTCTGTAAACCTAGAGATAAAATTGCCAAAAATACAAACTGGAGAATCATCATGCCAATCGGATGGAAACCTGCAAAATGACATAAAGATAAACTAGAAAGCATGCAAATTGACTTTTATTTAATCATCCCTTGAGTCTTGAGATAAAAAGCATCTTCTTTCGGCATCTAATCTACTCAAACTCAAAGTAAGCCAGAAGTTCTTTATTCTGGTATCCATGATAGCTGTAAGATACTAATGATTCTATAAAAAAGTTGGTCAAAATTCATTTGGAGTAACTCAATGCAAGCAATACAACAGTCACAGTGACAATTAGAATAATTTCGTCCTCTGTGCAAGTATTTAACCCACCTGTGCAACATTTTGCTCGTATGAACCAAGTATGCCAATTGATTGGGGATATACAGTCCCAGCTGCCAATGGAGACATGAACTTGCCTGTGTCTAAGGAGCTTGAATGATTTGGCAGAGATTCGCTAGATCCAAAGTCGCCCGGAAATTTGTAGAGACCAACTCCACTACTTCCAGAAATATCTCCTCCACCAAAAGCTCCAAAAGGCACATAGAAACCAGATCCTGGCCCAAAAAGTGCATTGTCCATAGGATTTTCTTGGCCGCTAATTTCTGATGGCATCAGTTCTGACTGAGAAACAGGAAATGCTGAAGTAACATGGGGCAGACCAGGAGAAACTGGGGGTGGATAGTAAGGTGACGACACAGGCATTTGGTGTGGAGAGTACAGCTGTCCATCAAACAGTATTGGAGACAGAGGGTTAGAAAGAGGAGAAACCTGCCCATATGCCATCTGGGAATCGAAGCCATAGCCAGGAGGATAGAAGAGTGGCGGATTATCATTGTACATTGCCTAAATGAGGTTCAATACAATAGTCAGCTTATAATGAACTCTATCTAGCAAATTGAAAATACGGTGTTCTTTTTGTTAAATATGGGTGGGGAGGTATGACATGTAAGTTATTGACATTAACATAGTTAGAATGCTCATCCCAGTTACCAGTGCCATTGTCATAACCTGGACCAATGCAAAGGTAATATAAAATTACATAACACAGGAAGCACTAAGACAAAAATCATTAAAGCAAAGCAACATGATTGTATTTGAACCAAAAAAACCCACGACCCAATGTCTGGTTTCATTCAAAATCTTTCTTGCTATGAGTTGATACAAAGTAGAACTAAAGTATTGGAGTTCATTTGCCTTCACAACCTTACATTAGTTACATCTCTCCCAGAAAAATCATAGAGGATATTTACTAGAGAGTGGAAAATGACCACAATTAAATGGATGAAGTATATGAACTTCCAACTAAGAGGTCATCATTTAGAACTACAAGTTTACAATACATTATGTAGCTAACAGTGATAAGAGCATCTTATGTATGATAGAGAGCATTTTTAAATTTAGATAGCCAAAATTTTTATGCACTCCAACAAGCTCTATATTTTGGCTCTTCATTTTGTTTTTCTTAAGAAATATTTATTGATTTCTCTTTATATTATTCAACATAATTTTTTATATGTCAATTTACCAATCAATTTAAATGTGGTTTGAATAATTTAAAAAGTATAGTATTGAAATATGTGATTTGTTAAATGCAATAATTGTATATTAACAAATTTGGCTCTCTAAATTTGAAGAGTCAAAACTCACTATCTATTTTAAAAAGTTAAAATAGTCTACTGAAGCTCATTTTAAGCACTCTCTCTAAAATAAAAAGCACTTTGCATTTAGAGAGTCTCTTGAAAATGCTCTAACATACTACAATATTCAGGCCCAAAATCATCTTCTATAGTAATTCACAATTTAATAGTGAAGCTTTAAGCTACCACTACCAATGATAAGACAATATAATTCACAAGGAAATTTATGTTCTCATAATTTGCCTATTAATTCTAGATATTCTTCCAAGCAAAAATCACAGTGAGAAAATAAAATTGTGATCACATAAGCGAGAATGATTGTCTATGGTCACCATCTGATGATGGTTGTGTTTTTGCATGAAAGAAAACAGATTGTCATTATAAAGCAATGAGATTAGCAGCAAATTTGGAACAAACCTCCGTAATAAATGCCCTGGTCCTGCGGAGTATAAGCATTGTAATGATACATAGCGCTAAGAGCTCCACTAGTTACTGAGGTTGCAGGCTGATCTTTAGTGTTTTCTGGTACCCTAGATATGGCCGTGTCAGGAGAAGGGTTTGCAGAAACAATCTTTTCATCTTTCGGCGAAAGTGGCTGATAAAAGATTCAAAAGAGTGTACCAATGAAATACATTACCTAATCTAATTAATAGATATACATAAAGGGAGAAAAAAGTAAGGATGAGTTTATTGCATACCTGTTCTACCGCGTTATGCAGATCAGCCGCCCTGTCACCTGCATCCACCAAAGCAATCCACAGCTTGTCAAAAAGCAGAACAGGAAAAATGAAAAGAATGCCGTATGTTAGATTAATAAAATCGAGCAACCCATGGCATGGTGTAGAATGTAAGCGTAAAATAATTTTATGCTTTGTTTGGCTGAATGGGGTAGAGGCAATAGAGAGACAGAACACAATTGAAGAATTCCAACATATCGATTATACAAGTTCCCCAAAAAAATTAAGACAATGCATAAAAAATGCATGTAAATTATGGCTTGGCAACAGGCTTTCCGCTAAGTCTGATGGGAAAAACCAAACTGAAGCAAAAAAATCATCAATCGAATAATATAAAGGGGCAAAAAGGAACAAAGGGTTTTAACCTTGACAGTAGGTCATCTAGCATTTCATAAGAGAAAATTATAATTTGAAAAGAAAACTTTAAAAATTTCTCTAATTTAGGATGTTGCATGAAATTGATCTACAAAGAACTCTATTTATCTGAATTTTTATGCATTTTAACCAATATAAAGCACAATAATTTTCAGCTGTTATTATAATCTAGTCCACGAGAGAGAAATTCCCCTCACGAAAGAAAAAAGGAACTCTGAGCAAAGCCCGATTTAACAAAATTACCCAAATTCAGTTCAAAAACCGTGTGTCATAAAATTCCATAGAGAATGCTCCTTTTGCATATATCTCAAAACCAGATTGGAAGCGTGTAACTAGAAAATCCCAAATCCTAACGTAAACCCTTACACTCCGAATGCAACATTCCTCGGTACAAAAACAAGGAAGTCCCAAACAATATAATCACGACTACAAAATACACACACATATATCAATGTGAACGAACCCGAAGATGGGACGGAGGCGAATCCATCGAGGCTCTGTTGACTTGCGTCTTCCATTAACACCAATTGAATTGAGTTCAAATCCAATCACAAATCGAAGAAGTAAGACGAATGAAGATTCAGATCTATTCTATTACAAATTGAATACAAAAAACAGTATTTGAAATAAATAAAACGAATTCGAATGCAACTTTTTGCAAAACAAAAAAAAATGAAAAGAACCCTAATTTCTTCTGTAATTCTAGATATTCTTCCAAGCAAAAATCACAGTGAGAGTATAAAATTGCAGATAATCAAAAAAGGCAAAAGATTTGCTTCGCGGGAGGGTTTGAAAATAAATAGACAAGAGAGGGTTTTAGACAACGCTATTTGTGTATGTATGCTACCCCATACCCTACCCACCCACTCGTAATTCAACTTTATGAGATTTACAGGTCAGATGTCACAACATACGGTTAATAAAAATATATGCGCAATGCTCATTTTGTATCCATAGTATTGCTCATGGGATGACAAAAATTTTTAGGGTAATTATAATTTTTATTGGTTGCACCATAGTTTAATTGCATTTATAGTGTGTTTGATTGGCACTAAGAACGGCACGAAAAATGTTTTACTTGTTTTGAATAAAACAAAAATATATTTCACATAGAAAATAGGGATAATTGCAGCAAAGGTCCCAAACCTTTCAAATTTTTGCGCATTTTACTCTAACCTTTGATTTGTGCCAGCGGAGGTCCCAAACCTTTCAAAAATATACGTCAGAGGTCCAAATGGATGGTTTCCATCCATTTGACCGTTAGTTTGACCAAAATAGTGAATTTTGACTAATTTTGACCAAACTCAAAAGGGTAAAATGGTAACTTTGTATTTTTCTTCCATTAAATAGGTTAAAAATTAAATTAAAAAACCAAAAAATAAATATATACACCTTCTTCCTCCCACTCCACCCTAAACCATTCCCACCCACCGTCGGCCCCACCGCCATTCTCAACATCGCCGCCCCAAAGGCCGGCCACCACCGCCATCCTCACACAGTCAACCTTCCTCTTCAATTCCATACCAAGAACGTCTCGTAACTCCAAGTATTCCGGCCGGTACAAAGCTTCAAAGTGTGCAGCCTGAAAAACTGAAAATCGCCGGACTCTCCACTTCCGGCCACAATACCTGCCGGAACTCATCACTGACCAATCCCCCTCCCCTGGACGACCTCACACATGCCATCAATTGCAGCCAAACATCAAGCCAAGCTGCTGAATTTAATCCAGATTTCTGCCCAGTCGCGACGCGAGCGGAATCGCCCGATAAATCTGCACTTTCCGGCGCCGAAAGAAGGTGGAGCACCACCTGGGCTCGACTCCCCACCACCGGTAGCACCTGCCCAGCCTGGGTCAAGGTCAATTTCACCCAGATTTCAGAGAATTCATGGATGAAGTTCGCGGTCTGTGTAAGAAATTCAGAACTGAGATCTGTTGCAAATGCTTAATTCGATCAGAAGAACTTCAATTGGCATTGATAAGGTCATGGGTAAGCAGCCAATTGTTGCAATTAGCAACGAAAATTCCGGTGAAGGCATCAAGACAAAGACACGGTCATTTCCTGCTCATCATCATTAAACTTCACAGTGGCTACCCTGGCTTTGAACTTCACTTCACTGCACTCAACTCAATCGAACTTCCGCCATTAAATTGAGTCATTTCCGCCACCAACAGCAATGTGGCTACCCTGGCTTTGAACTTCACTGCACTCAAAACAAAGACACGGTCTTGGAATTACCTTTTCCGGTGAAGGCATCACCTTCCATTTTCGGTTCACTGCAGTTGACTGTGTGAGGATGGCGGTGGTGGCCGGCCTTTGGGGCGGCGATGTTGAGAATGGCGGTGGGGCCGACGGTGGGTGGGAATGGTTTAGGGTGGAGTGGGAGGAAGAAGGTGTATATATTTATTTTTTGGTTTTTTAATTTAATTTTTAACCTATTTAATGGAAGAAAAATACAAAGTTACCATTTTACCCTTTTGAGTTTGGTCAAAATTAGTCAAAATTCACTATTTTGGTCAAACTAACGGTCAAATGGATGGAAACCATCCATTTGGACCTCCGGCGCATATTTTTGAAAGGTTTGGGACCTCCGCTGGCACAAATCAAAGGTTATGGTAAAATGCGCAAAAATTTGAAAGGTTTGAGACCTTTGCTGTAATTATCCCTAGAAAATATTACCTTAAAAAAAGAAAAATTAAACATATTTTCAAAAGTTGAAAAATATTTTTAATAAAAAAAAATAGCAATCAAATACTTCAAAATAAGAATTTGAATGAAAACTGACATTTTTCATGGAAAATAAGTGTAATCAACCACACTCTTAATATTTTTGGTCATTGTTTATTATAACACTTATGTCCCTAACAATTTTTCATGTCATTCTTATCATCGAAGTTTTCATTAGTTAACACATTTTGTATTTAATGATATTTTTATGTTCAAAAGTTCGTTGGACCGGCATTAAACAACTTATTTTTCTTCATATATTTTAAAAATAAATACATAAAAAATGCGAAAAATATTTTTTTCTCATTTCAAAGCAGGCGAATAAAATATTTTGATATAAATCATTATCAAATACCAGATGTACTAATTAATGGAAGATTGAAAATAAGAATTTGACAAAAAAGTTAATGAAATAATTGTTGTAATAAGCAAAGATTAGGAAACTAAACTACAATCAAAACATGATGTATTAATAAAAATTATGGTGTCAATATAACCGCCAAAAAATTTAAATGGAAAATAGAAGTGAAGAATATTGCATTTTGGACCTTCACATTCAAATAGGAGGAATTTAGCCCCCAACTTTTAACTTCCATTGCTCTCTTATAGAGGTGTCAGACGGACGGGCCGGTCGATCCGTGAAAATCGACCCGGGACCGCGGGCCAAACCATGACCCGAGGGGACAGTTCACAGGTCAATGAGGTGTGACCCGCGGACTTACATTTTCACGGTCGCGGTTAATCTGCTGGTCCGTGAAAAAAATTTGAAAAAAAGTATATGTCACCTAGTTGTGATGTACTTATACTATAAATATTTGATAATAGTAATTAGAAATGCATTTAGTTGTTATTTGTTTAAGTTAAATTTAACTTTGCAAAATTATAAATAATTTTTTTTTTATTTTTAGTTATAAATAATTGATATAACATTAAATTTGAATTATATATAAACATTTCTTGGTATAAATATGAATTTATCATTTTATTCAATTCTTAGTTTACATTTAAAAAAAATATATTTTTTACTATAAATATGAAAAATCCTATATTTTTATAATTTTATTTATATAATAATACGGGACAAATCGAAACAAACCGCGACTCGCGCGACCCGTGACCCAACATGAGCTCAACCCGAATGAGTCAATGGATGGACCTGAGTTGTAGTCCAAAATTTGTCGGTCGACCCGGAATCGGCCCGGAACCCGTAAATGGCGAGCTTTCTTTCACGCTGGCCCCAGCCCGAACCACCCGAATTGACACATCTACTCCCTTAGCCTCAATAGACCACCATGAGCACGTGACTTAGTTTTCGAGGGGCAAAAAGAAAAATAATAACTTCTAGTGAAAATGGCTTGAAAAAAGAGTGAATTGAAAAATTAGGCCCCTGTTTGGTTTGGGTTAACATCCAATTAAAATTTCAAATCAAAATCAATAATTAATTTTAATCAATCATTTTATAAGAACCCACATCTTTTCAACCACATATTTCATTAAATTTTAACAAAATTTATTAAAAATTTGATTTTAACCACAACCAAACAGGACTCGAACTCTCAATTTTCTTCGTCATTGTGGTGTTGATTGACCTTCCAATTCCCACCCTCTTGCATTGTTGTGCTAGTAAGTAATGGAGCCACATGAGCACGGGAGATGTCGATTGCCCCAGCAATAGTTTGAAATATCTCTAAATTTATGTAGAGTTTTTTTGAATTTTTTTTTTCAACATATACATAATACATGTATATTTTTCTCATTCAAATTCCCCCTCCCCCATCATGAAATTTCTAGCTCCGCTACGGGTGCTAGTGGATGAGATTTGTGTATTCTTTTTACGGAGATGGGTTGATCGGGATAGGAGGCGGTTATGGTTGGTGCGAGTGACGGATACGAAGTTGAAAATAGATCAATGTCTTTTCTTTTCTCTTTCTTTTATTTTAAAGTAGTCAGATCATTATGCTCCTCGATGTGATTTTAAGGGTATTTTGGGTTAGAGTCTTTGCTGGTATTGAAAATTTTTAAATCAACGAGTTTGAAAAATTTAACATAGCACGATAAGTTTTATAATGAACTTGTGATTTTAAATTTCATGTAAATAACTAGTTATCCATAAACACAAAATAGTACATATTTCAATGAGTACCAACTCAAAAAAGAAACAAAAAAGATAGACTTCAAATCTACGTAACTCCAAAAAGTGACATTCGAAAACTTTGATTTTCGCACCCTTTTTCGACCGATTTCCCTGGTGCACTTTGTTAGCACCTTTATTCAACTTGGCATACTAAACGCATGAACTTCCAAGATGTGTCGTGCCTTGTCCATACCAAAGTTGTCTTTCATCTCATACATATGCAATTGTATTCGACATATTTACAACAAACATCCTGCAATCAAGCCTGCACGAAATTTTCAAAACCAACAAAATTAGATGTTACAACTTAAGAGCGAAGCACATTAAAGATAATGCCCATGTTTGATAGAAATTAAAAATCTTGACATGCTGCAATTAAGCTTGCACGAAATTTTCAAAACCAACAAAAAAGAGAGATTAGAACTCAAGTGTAAAGCACATTAAAGATAAATTGCCCATATTTGATAGAAATTCAAATCAAGATTTTATTCTAAGTCCCTCTTTTGGTGGAATTAAAAACAGATTTTTAGTAGATTTTGATAGAATTTGATAAAATGTGTGACTGAAAAATTGTTGGTCCATAAAAGTATATGGTTGAAATGGGTTGTTAACTTTAATTTAAATTAAAATCTAGATTTAATTGGCACCAAAGAGGAGCTAAGTTAAAGTCAATAATTAATTTCAATCATATATTTGATGGGACTCACAACTTTTTAGCTATACATTTCATCAACTTTTATAAAAATCTAATAAAAACTTGATTTTAATCCTCACCAAACAAGTGCAATATATTATACAATAATATATATCCATTTTTGCTGAGGTATTTCGTCCACAATGTTCACTTTAATTTAATGTGTGAACTTGTAGTCTGCCATGAACAATCATCGATTGCCAAAATATTGGAAACTATTCTACTAAAGTTTAGGACACAAGAAGGCCAAGTCCGCTAAGGTGGAAGGTGGACGCCTCCACCCGGACAAAATAAAGGGTTCGACCACATACACTGACACTATATGGTCGTGTGACTTCTTCGGATCCATCAAATTAAAAACAAAAAGAAAAAGCCAAAAGGAGCTGCTCCCTTTGAACAATTTAGCCGCTTTTGATGATCATTATTGAGAAAAAAATATGTTTCGAACAGTGATTTTTTTGAAAATTATGTGGTTAAAAAATATGGAAAAGTTTTGGATTTACGTGTAAAATATTTTATTGCGTGAATATGTGGTTGAAAATGAGTATGAAAATTAAAGAGTTTTGTTTTAAAGAGAGAGAAACGGGAGCTTAGAATTCTAAGGTTAAAGTAGGGAATGCATCACAACACCCTTTCGACCTACCTTTCAACATAGATGTCATCTAAGCTTGGGAACATCACTGCTTGTATTAAAGTAACACGAAGCTATTTATAAATAGAGTTACATGCAAAAGTAAAACTTATAATTAAAATAAATAAACTTATTCATAAGTAAATTTTTCAAGCTCGGCCAAACAAGGTCAATATGACTGTATACAAATGCAATTTATCAAGACATGATACAATTTTTTTTAAGAAGTACCACTTGTAAGTGAAAAATAGCCTCTACTTATAAGCAACAACTTTTAAGTGGAATCATTATTCCATGGACTTTTGCTCTGATGTTTAACATTAGTAAGAGCCTTCCAAACAACACTGTTGCATTTCAAACCTGATCCAAAAGCCAGTTGCCAAATTTTGTCCCCGTTCTTGATTTTGCCTTTTGCTTCTAAATAAGCCAATTCATACCAAATGCTACTGCTGGAAGTGTTCCCAAATTTTTCAAGAGTTTTTCTTGATGCTTCCATATATTCATCAGTAAGATCCAAATTCTTCTGTATTTCATCGAGCACTTTCTTGCTTGTTGCCAGTATGCAGACGTGCTCAAAAGCGAGCTTGTAGTCAGGGATGTAAGGCTTGTTGGAGTTGGATTTGAAGAGAAGAGATTTGAAGAAATGGAATTGTTCAGAAACTGGAAGGACTAAAGGGCTTAAGGTTGTGATGTTGGCTTTGAGTGCATGGCCACCTACTTCCACCACCTCTTTCGAGACCCAGATGCCTTGTTTGCCGGCCGCGTCCTCCTTGAGTTGTATGCTATTGAAGCACCGGTCGTCCATACCTTTGTGCGTGCGAACGAGCTGAGAAAAATGTTTTTACCTTTAAAGTCGTGAAAAACCCGTATGTGTATTTTAAGAAACGACGACGAGTAACATGTTGTGTTACCTGTTTCAGTTCGTATTTAGCGCGCCACCGGTCGAGTTGATGATTTGACAGCAAAACAGCAGCAGCCCCCATCCTAAAGAAGCAATTTGGCTGAAGCATGTCCAATTCATTGCCATCATACCAAGTAAAGCTCACAATTTCTGTACTCACTACCAATGCATATGAGCCTGGGTATGCACCCAAAAGGTCCTTAGCCAAATCTATAGCTGTAATTCCAGCAGCACACCCCATACCACCTAGGCTAAAGCTTTGTATTTTGTGACTCAATTTATAATGGTTGATTAACATTGCAGAAAGTGATGGAGTGGTGTTGAGAATCCCACAATTGACAATGAGGATCTTTACGTCCTTTATTAGAAACCCGGTGGTGGCGAGGAGGTCATCGACCGCCCCGAACATCAGCATCGCTGCCTCTTCCCGGCCGTCCCTTAGGGTTATCCGGTAGTCGGGACGGAAGACTATTCTTGGGAGATAGGTTTCATCTCCTAGGCCTGAGTTCTTGAGGACATGCTGCTGGTATTGGATTGCTGCTTCATTGAATTTACCTGATTTTCTAGCCAATTCCACAAATTCTTCCTTGGATATCTGTAGATTAACAAAGATTATAAACTTGTTATTTTACCTCAAAAAGAGCAATGTTTTGGCTTCCAGGCATATCTAGCCATACTGACATAACCCTTTTTTCTTTCTGGGAAAATGATGAGAAAAATGAGAGAACACATACCTTAAATTCAGTAGGTGGACGGTAGCAGGCAAAATCAACTAAATACGTAGAACAAGGTGTCAAATCAAAGTAAATATAAACGATTAGTCCCAATAATCCCAACAGGCAAATGATGTTCAAAACATCATATTCCAACCACAAATCACTGAATTTTACTTTGCCTATTTGTGTACCAAAAAGCATCAAAACAACTGGTGCAGCAACAAAATAAATAAAATGATTGAGCAGATACCCATAGCCAAGTTTCACATATTTCAAGTTCACAGAATTAAGGAAGTCCGGTAAACTCCGGCGGACCCGGACAGAAAAACTCGGAGAACCCGCGTAGGGACCGGAGTTTTCGACTCCCTGGCTCACAATTTCCGGTGAAAGGCATTCTTTTTCCGGCCTTTCCATGTTAGCTGATGATTATAGATTATCAGTTGAATAGAGTGAAAAAAAAAAACCGTAGTGTGATTTAGGCATAAGCAGTTCGGGAATGCTTGTAATGCATGAAATGAGGATTGGAGAGGTGTAGAAGCCAAGAAAAGATACGACTTTTGAGGTTAAACTTGGGGTGTGGTAGAGTAGGGGTGATAACTGAAAAATGAGGCCTTTAGAGCATGAAGGCGTGGGAACAGCGGATTCATAGGCCTAGGCGTGTTGGGGATGTTTTATAAGGGATAGAGGGCGAATTCATCTGTTATTTGGGGAAGTTTTATTTTTTGTTCGTACACGGTGGGCAAGTTTGGCACGCACGGTGGAACGATGCTACGTGTACACGAACCATGCTAGAGTTACAGCTTTATTTGACAGTTTTTTCACAACCCCCTCACATGGGAGTGGGGCCGCAACCCCCATGTAAGGGGACTGTGAAAAAAACTGTCAAATAAAATTGTACATTCAGCTTTATTGATGTGTACACTTTTATGAGGAGAATTACTCAGCACGGTAATGTCTTCGTGCAAGTTTGACATGCACGGTAATGTCATCATGCGTGAGTCCAATTTATTTTTTAGTTGTAAATATTTACTTGCACACGTTTCATAACTATGCCGAACAATATCATGTAAAAGTTTAAGCCACTAATGGAAAGAAAGAGATGCATTTAATTCTTTAAAATTAAGTCTTCGGCACTTGTTGTACGTTGAAAATGCTCATGGCTTTTCACACCAATTGTACATCTCTCGGGCAGTGTTCAATAGAATATTAAGTTTCACTTACCTTCAGATTATGCATCGACCTACTATTTATAAAAGATGAGCATCTCTGCAATAGTAATGAAAGTTATCCCGCATTGCTACTGCTTGTCATATCCCTAAATTTCGAAGTAACCTTGATGTAGTCGTTAGGTTGAAACCGCAAGCGTACGAGATCGTTGACAAGTAATAATAAAGTGAGTTGTGAATTATTGTCTCATAAAGAATAATGTTTAACTTTAGTATACTAGTTATATTAAATTCGATTAATAGTAACACAAAAGAGTTTGATTGATTTTTTAACTACTTTTAACAACAAAAGCAATAAAAAGATGTTTTTATCAAATATGTGATTAGTGTATTGAATTTCTGAATCCCCTTAATAATGTTATTTTCAATTCTTGACCTTTATAAAGTAATGTTTTATAATGTACATGACAATTAATAATTCAATTTTATTTAATATTCTCTTTCAAGAAATATAAACATATATTTAACATGACCCCAATCTTATTCATAGTCCTAATTTATATGAAAACATGCATTTAATAATAGGATTATTTCACACGATTGCACACTCCATAAACAGTTAAACACTATTCCTAATATCTATTCAACGTGTCTTAAATATACAGTATTCTACCCGTTGTGAGTTTTCAAACACTACAAATAGACAACAAGTTATCTAGATGGTGGCTAATCATTCAAACAGCACGATTTAAATGCATTAGTAATCAAGAACACAAGAAATAATTAAGTTAACGAGTTTTGAATTGAAACTAACTCTTCATAAGGTTCATCATACATCAAATACATAAAAACTTTAGTCTAATATTGTCATACAAAAATTATACACAAAAGAATAAGAAAAGACATCAACCGAGACAAGAAATACGATGAAGAACTTGAAAACTCAAATTCCTCACTTTAATCTTTGATCCAAACGATGAACTCTTGCTTCTTGAATATTATAATGCTTCTTGCACTCTCAAACAATGATAAAAAGAACCTCTCACGTTCTGGATGGCTTGTGGTATATATAAAGTGACAAAATATTGTATACCAAAGTCAAATGAAACATTTTTTTTCCACGGAGATGAACCATGCGTACACATGGTTCATTCAGTGCGTACGCATAATAAACATGATTCAACATCAATAACTCCATAATGGGTTTGTGCGCACATGCATATACATACGCATGGTTTTACCATTTTGGGACCAATTTATGAATTGGTTACTTGAACTTTTTTACATGCGTATTTTGGCAGTCTTCGATAATTTTTCATCTCATTGACTTCTCTTCACTTCCCATTGATCATTGGCATTCTTGAATCACCGTCATGCAATACAATCCAACTTTTGAGTATGTTGCAATTTAATTCCCATAGTTTTGATTTCACTATTTTCCTCTATTTTTTGCTTGTTTTCTCTAATTCTTCATCAAATCATGAATTTTACATATTAAACACAATATAATACAAATTCTACTATATTTCATCAAAAGAACTATAGAATGCTGTTATTTAAGGCCTCGAATAAATTTATAGATTACACTTATCAGTGGCCTTCAAATGTTCAGCTTGTTGATCGCCATATGCATTTTTCGAGATCTTACATTTAATTTGATGAAGCGCTCATTGGATTAATGGCAGCTCAAATGTTCCTTTGGCTTGAAACATGAGTTCAATGTCAACAAGTGAAAGAAACTGTGGTCACAATTTGATTATATATTACAGTCAAATCTTCTTATTTTCCATCTAAATTTTAAATATAATCGTACAAAACATGTCATTTGTGTGAAAAATGAAAGTGTTAGTACCTACAGGGGCGAATCCAGCCTTTTGGTTCAGCTAGGGCGGAGACCATAATAGTCGAAAATATAATTCGATACATATGTAAATGCACTAAAACGTAAAAAAACATATACATATAAAAATATAATTCAATACAACTCAAAAATACTAAAAAAAAATGCAACCCTACTCTATAATTGTAAACTTACAAGCTTAGAGTCAAACTTCTTCTCCATTATTTTTTTTCACTTATCCCTAATTTCCTAAAACCCTAAATTCTCAAATTACAATTCACAATTCAAAATTATAAGTCATAGTCTCAGACATTAATATAACATAAATTCTCATTTCTCATAATTCATAAATCATAAATTCAAAAAATCTAAAAAAAAGAAGGAAGAAGAATAAAAACAGAGCCGGCAGGGAGTCAGTCCAGAAATCCAGAATCATAGTAAAATCCATAAAGATTCATGGGTAGCACTAGCAAATAGCAATAATGATTTCAAATTTTCAAGGAGCAAGATTTTTGAGTTAATACATGTACAGGCAGACAGACTGCAGTCCGCAGATGAAGCTCCAAGCTTCAGCTATTGCACCACCGTCCACTGACCAACGTCCTCCATCCACCTATCTCGGCGGCGTCACAGTCTCACAGCCACAGGACCGCAATTGTGACTCCTTCTGCAGTGGAAGTTCACCCTCGTCTCCCTCCTCTGCCAGACCAAAATGTTGGAATTGGAATGAATTTGGTTTGGGAAAAATTCACTTTCCCTACTTTATCTTTACCCTATTTGAAAAATAACAAAACAACTTTTACATTTCAAAAATCAGAAATTTTGACTTATACATACACATTTATATAAATATTTATTTATACATATAAATATATAAATAAATATAAATAAATAAATA